TTTAAAAGTATTGGAATTATATATAAAGTTCGACATATTTTAAATAAACAATAATTAAAACAACTATATCATTCGTTTATCCACTGCCATTTAAATTATGCAAATATTGTATGAGAAAGCGCGCGCAAAACTAAACTTAAATCTCTTCATCAGCATCAGAAACACGCATCTCGCTTAATTAATTTTGTAAATTGTTTTTCAAATTCAAAACCATTTGTGAGAGAAATGAAAGACTTAAATGTAAACGAACGAAATGATTATAATATTTCAAGTTTAAATGTAAAAATCATTTATCTCCTGATGTATTTAGAAACATTTATAATGTAAAACCCATAAACAAATACAATCTTCGTAATGAAAAAAATTTACAAGAACCTTTCTGACAAACTAAATTTGAACAACTAATTATTTCTCATCGCGGTCCTTATTTATGGAATAAAATAGTTTTGTCCAATTTTGATTTGTCATTGAAATGGACTTTAATTTCTTTTAAACGAAAATTAAAATAAGTTATCTTTTCAACAGAAAATATTTTTTCTTGTTTTTAGTTCTTTTGTTTCATATATTTCATATAATTTATCCAGTATTTTTATATTTTAAATGCACGCTTAAATATAGTTTATGTTTATTGCTTAATTTGATTTTATTGTTATTATTATATTTGATATTGTAAAGGGCTTCATGATAAGATAGTATAATTTTCCGGAAGTCCTGCTGAATATATTTGTAATAAAGCTATTCTGTAATTGTAATTTCTTTTATTGAAGGCCAAAAAAAAAAAAGAAATACTGAGAATATGTTATGACACAACTGTTGTGAAAATTGGTCATTTGAACGGCGCTGTTATTTTTAACGGAAAATGTCTGTCTATCAAGATACTTTATCTACCTCGTTGCCGTCATATAGTAGAAATAACAGTTTCAGCTTCATGGACTCTATCTGATCCATGCAGCTGCAGAAATAGCTTTATTTAAATCTTCTGTTGCGCCAATTAATGTTTTTGGCTTATTTTGAATAAAATGAAAATTGGTAGGCAAGGAAATGGTGATTGTAACCAAGTGCATTGAAGAACATAGATTAGTGTGGGAGGACCTTGAGGAAATCTACTTTGGACTTTTTAAGTGAGTTTAACAATTCTACAAAAAAGTTGTTAACAATCGAGAGATAAAACTTAGATTTAAAGAAAATTTTAAAGCCCTGGTGTTGATTATTTTGATATGGTGTTGATTATTTTGAACATCGTGCCTTGCACGATGTTCAAAATAATCTACAGCAAGTTTATAAAAACTTATTACATTCGAAATCAACTTATTACATTCGAAGTCGAGAATTGTCATAAAACAATGGCTATAGCAATGCTTTACAAAATTGAAAATCATTTAATTTATTAAATAGAAGAGAATGTTATTTTTGCGTTATCTACCATAAATGTAATGTTGACAAAAACGCTATGGCAAAAAAACTATATAAATATTTATTTAACAATAGCTTGTGCTACAATTGGAATTACTTTGGGAGGCCAAATGAGCCTTTATAGCAAAATAAAACAAAATAGTTCAATTCGGTGGGTTCAAAATCATGGACACTATTTTATACAACATTAAACAAACATATAACATGCCTTTTTCATTATTAGCGTTGTTTATGTTTTGATTACTTTGATGTACAGCTAAAAAAAAGTTATAAATTAAGAAATTTGTTGTTTTAGTTTGTAATTTAACAGTAAAGCTTTTAGAGAATAAAAGATTTGTTGGGTTTAATATAAATTACTAAACACAGCTTTTCGCTGTTTGTTTAATAGACCTCCAATCAGATACGTCGTTTGCGCATTGGCAAGTTTAACGATGCAAGTTTTACATGCAATCTAGCATTACCAAAGTACGTTTTATGCGCCAATGACGCATTATTTACTTAGCAATGTGGGTTTTTAGGTGCGAATTAACTTTACATTGTTGTTATGCTTGTTTTTAGCAAAACTTAGTGTTGTACGTTTGTACGATTTAAAAGTGTTTGGTTTAACTAGCAACCTGAAATCTAGTTTTAAATTTGAAAAAAATTGAGAAAAAATAATAATTATAATTACATAAATCGATAAAACATTAGCCTTTATTAAGGATTAATGTTGCCGAACAGAAAAAACGCACTATTTAAAAATTTGAACCTTTTAACAATATTCTATAATTCTTTATAAAACTACACTCGATTAAAAAAATACAATTATGAACACTCTTTCACTAAAAAACCTATCCTAAACAAAAAACCATTTCCTCAAAAATGCTATTGCGGTTTATTTAAGACTGCGAATAGCATAAATATGAATAAAGTACTAAGTATGTATATATATGTGTGTGTGTGCGTGCGTGTGTATATGTAATATATATATATATATATATATATATATATATATATATATATATATATATATATATATATATATATATATATATATATATATATATATATATATATATATATATATATATATATATATATATATATATATATATATATATATATATATATATATATATAGTAAATATGTTACATAAAAAGATTAAAGATAAAATACCTATATGATCTAGCGCGAGCTAATAAGCTAAAAAATGCTATTTTCAATGTTGTTTTTGAAAAACAAAAATTTCACTTAAAAATTGAAAATACTGTTACTTTACAGTAACCGCCATTATCAAACAGACGCATTTAATGCTCTCAGCGCTAGGTCATACAGTGAGATAATAATGTTGTGCTATAAAAAGGTGCAAAATTATATACATGCGTAAAAAAAAAAAAAATATATATATATATATATAAATATATATATATATATATATATATATATATATATATATATATATATATATATATATATATATATATATATATATATATATATATATATATAACAATTGTATAATTCTAAAACTAGTCATCTCTCAACTTTCTATTATTATATGACCTTATATAAAATACACCAAATAAATATAATAGGGTAAAAAGATATATCACATTTATCCAAAGAATTGTATCCCAATAATTGCATCCAGATCGCAACGCGTTTAGTATGTACACGATAATGAATACAAACTGAATCTAAAAAAATTTTAACATACATTTATAAAAAAAATCGAGACCAAAAATTTATTTGGTTAAGTATTTATCTCTAAAACATATATATATAAACATATATATATATATATATATATATATATATATATATATATATATATATATATATATATATATATATATATATGTTTTTTTTCGGCAACAAGCCAAAAATAAATAAAAAATAAACCAGAAACAAACCAGAACAACAAAAAAAAAGAAGTAGAACAATTTTATTCGAAAATTTATTTGGTTAAGTATTTATCTCTAAAACATATAAAGTTCTGCCAATATGTGAAGGTTGTCTTCATTTTCACATGCATCTGTTGCGTAAATTTCATTAAAAAAAAAATTGCGTAAATTTCCGACCTTTAAAATCATTGATTCGGGAATGTTAAAGTCTTTACAACAAATCTTTCAGCTCATTAAATAAGATTTTATGTGAATGACTGCATTTAACACTTGGTTTGACATTCTGTTTCTCTGTTTGCTTTTCACATCGGTGACCTGCGAAAAGACTCTCTCAACAAAATAATTAGAAACAGGAACACATACTATGTGTAATTTTCTTCAGTGTCATTTCCGACTACTGCCTTGCTTGTCTATGATAGACAAACAAGGCAGTAGTCGGAAATGACACTGAAGAAAATTACGACAGCAAATTTTTACATTTTGAACTGATTCTTGAGCATCCAGTTTTGCATTTGAAGGTTACGCTTAAATGTAAATCTGGCACTCTGAGAAGAATTTAGCCCTAAAATCAACATACCAAAGAGGAAGTATAAATCCCTTGGTATCAAAAACAGGCTGTTTTAAGCTTTTGAGATGTATATTTAACTCATTCATTAGATTTTCTGGATCAACATTTGCCCCTTGAAAGAGAGAGTTTAGATGCTCAAATTCTTGAATGACTGGAGTGAGAAAAACATCATAGAGGTAAAGGGTGTTGTCTTGGAACATTTTGCTTCTTGATGAAAATTTATAACGGACCTCAGAGTTTGCATTCATTTGAACAAAAATAAAGAATGCTTTTAGTTCTTGCCAATTCACAAGCAAGTTATAAAAACACTTTCCTTGAACCAACCAACGAAAGCCATTGACAATCTGCTACTCTTTTTCTGAAAAACATCTCACGCATATTGCAAGGTGCCTGATTGAACTCACATCTGTTGATTCATCAATGAGGATAGAAAATGGCTTAAATTTGATTTGTTTAGAAATTTCTTCTTCTAGAGTTGCTGAAATGACATTCTGGATTACTTTAGTGCACTTAGTGCGGTGGAGCTTTAGATATTCCAGGGGACTGCCTATGCCAAACTTAAAAATAATTTCACACAAATGGTTTGCAGTGACAGCAGATACACATAGCAAGCTGAATGTCTGCTTTTTTGTTTACATCTGAAATTTTTACATGACCTGGAAATGTAATCTTTTTTTGAAACAGATTCAAAGTTTTTTTTCTTTTAATGTGTGAAGCTGTTATTTGATGTTGCTCAAAGCTACTTTTGTGGTGACAAAAAGCTTGTTCAGATGCATCAGAGCTTTTTTTTACCCAGGCAAATTCTTTTTCCCACTCACTTCGATAACTACAAGAGTTTTCATATGATTTTTTGTTTGGCAAATCCACAGAAACATTTAAAACTAGTTTACTTTTTTAAAGTAAAGTATTTCATTTTAAAACATCTTTTTACATGCTAAAATTTTCTAATATTTTCCGCCAACGCAATAATTTAATGAAAAAAAACTTTTCAAAGAAAAAAACCAAATTTTAAATGAATGGAACAAATCCAAATAAATTGTTTGAACTAGTTGAAAATCATAGTGAGAGTTTATTCATACTTAGAGTTTCTTTGAATTTCTTTAATAAGCCTTTATAAACAAAAAAAAATTTGATTACTCATTTTCGTTTCTTTTTGTTTCTTTCATTCCTTTTTGTTTATTTCATTTTTTTATGAAACAAAAAAGCTTGCAAAAACAAAAAATGAACTAGAATTAAACCAAATTTAATAGAATAATCCAAAAAAAAAAAAAAATTAAACACTTAAAAAAAAAACAGATTTAAACAGATTTAAAACCGACTGATTTTAAGAAACCTAAAGAAAAAGATTCTGTAAAACCCAAAACTTCAATGAACTAATATTTATATAATTAAAAATTAAAATTCGATTTATAAATTGTGCTGTATAATCTCAACTGAAATCAAAATTTAATTTATTCTTGAAAAAAAATATTAAAAGAACTGCAAATGATGTAACTCTTTGTGTTTTGGTAAAAAGTAATTTTTTTATTGCCATAAATATCATAAATATAATCACTGTTCACTGAACATTTTAAGCGTAAAACATAGTGAATTTTAACTCAAATATAACTCTTTTTGACTCAAAATATTTTGAATACTTAATACTGTATTTGATAAGCCTAATTTCTTATGTTGAGTTTTAATCTTCTTTCACCTCAACCACCTCTAAAAAATTATATTAAATAAAAAGACACAAAAACTAAAACATCTAAATACATAAAAATTTATCCCGACTGATTTTAAGAAACCTAAAGAAAGAGATTCTGTTTTAATTTCTGAGTTTTAATCTTTTTCACCTCAACCACTTCTAAAAAAACATGTTGCTTTCCAATTAGTAAAAAAAAATATTTAAACTAATTAATAATTTTTTTGATTTAATGTAAAGATATAGAAAAAAAAGCAAAAAGCATTTTCCCTGTTTCCATAAAGTAAAAAAATATTTGAATTGATTTAAATACTTTTGTCAGTAGAATAGATATTTTTTAATGTAATTTTTTCATATGATCAAGATGTTCCTTAATCTTACACAAGAGCACCACTAGAACTTTTAACTTTCAGTGTTTACAAATCTTTGAATTAACATTTATTTAAAGATATTCTTAAAAATAAGCGAAACCTTAGAGTTTTTTGTTCAATGCAAGACCTTTAGCCTTGCAGTTGAGCTGTGAACAAAACACTCTGTAAGCTGTCTGAGCAAAATAGTCTATAATAATGATTTCGAAAAGTCAAAAAACGTTTTGAAGAAAGAAAAAAAAAAAATTTTTAAGATTACCATTTGCATTTTTGTAAGATATTTTTTCCACCATAAATATTTTTGCATATGTGGACCAACAGCAGCTAGCATGTAATAGGTGTACATAATTGAATGAATAAAACAGTTCAAAAAGGGTCCAAAGTAGGCTAGAAAATATATTTTACAGATATATAACATACTGATATTGTATTACAATGTAACAACATATATTAACAATATATTAAAACAATATTGAAAAGTGATAAAATACTTTTTTTATAAATAAATCCTTCAACAGCTTTTTTTAAATACTTAAATAGCTTACATCACATATACGCCTATTCATTTTTTACACTCGAGCTAATTCATTTATTACACTAATTCCTGTTTAATTGTCACACACATACCTATTTATTTACAAATTATCAAACATCATAGTGATTAAATATCATAGTGATTAAACTTATTTAATGCAATTAAATCATGTATTCGCCCTATGCATTTTATCATACATTTAATCAACATTTTGCAACAACATATGCAACTTAAGTATAAACTTAATCATAAAATTAAACAACATATTCTCAAAAAGTGCAACCAACTTTTTACAAAAATTGATGTTCAACTATGGGAGCCCCGGTCTCCCTTAGTTGCACATCAATATTAACACAAGATTAATATACATTTTTTTTTAAATATATCTGTTTAACCTTTTTAGTCATTACGTATATAAAAACTGAATATTTTATTTATAAATGAATTAAAAAATAATATATTTATAAATGTTGAGCTCAACACAAATGTAAGACAAATACAGGGCAAAATATAATCCTGATATTTTTTGCTAAATATATTCAGCATTTTCAAAACATGACTCAAATAAATGCTGAAATAAATAGATGGTTGGCAGGCCTTAAGATAACTCTAAAGTAGGGTGATATTGTCGCTTACCGCGGTTTTCTTCTCTGAAAAAGGATCATACCCCCTTTTTTTGTTACTAAATTTTGTCGCATTATCATGTAAAATAAAAAAACTGTTAAAAACAGAACAAAAACAAATATATCAATGCAATAGTTTCTTTTGATATTTCTATTGTTTTTGTTCTGTTTTTAATGGTTTTTTTATACAAATTCATTATACTTGATAATGAGGGTATCTATACTCCCTTAAAATATTGTATAAATTCAAAAAAATAAAGAGTTACTCCATAATAAAAGTTTTTTATTTGATTATATATTTATATATACTCTTTTAAAATGTTTTTTAAAATTTTGTTGCTATTTCACTTTTTTAAGTTTTTCAGTTTTAACAAAGATTCAAAATCTTTATATATATATAAATCACTTACAGGCTCCTCCAGGCGCATATTTAACTAAACACCATTGAAGAAGTAACATTGAAAGATGATGGTATGTGTGAAGAAAAGATATCTGATTGTTCTTCTTTCGAACCACAAAAAAAAACTGTAAAAAAACAAATAACAAAAATTTTGCAAATCCAAATAAATCTTTATATTATAAATTTATCGTTAAAAATTACAATACTTACTGTATCCGAAAACTCTATTAGCTTAGAGAAAAAATACCACCAATGTGCATTGACTAACTAATCATGACAAAAAAAATACAACATAGTATCAAACAATATTTTTGCTTCATAATATGAAAAAAACTTAAAAATTAACTTGATATTGGAAATTTCAAGTTTAAAATAAATTAATATCAATATTTTCACATGCACAATTTTTATCTTTATTATTATTCAGAGAATATTTTTATATCCTTCATTTTATGTTTACAAATATGTCGCTCATTTTTAAGGTTTTTTTGCAACGTTCTTTTTCGCTATCATATATTATTCTATTGTTATGATTTTGGGTTTCGCGGGTTACTCATTTTCCTACACTTTTGATTGGTTATCATATTTCGAATGAGGTATCTATGACAGCGTTAGAGTTTATTTAAGGGTATTGTTTTGTTTATTAAAAAAAATTTTAATGAGGTATACTGCTTTCTGATTATCTTGGGCTTGTTTATGCTAATAATACCTATTTGGTTTTATTTCTTAAAATAAATTGATTAATATTTTTATGTTTCTATTAGAATTTAAATTTATTTTGTTTTCATGTTTTCTTTTGGTGGTACGGTAAGTGTTTTATTTAGTTATTTTTATTTTTGTTTGTTCAGTAAATCTATACTTTTTATATCATATCATCAAGAAAAATATTGGTGCTTTACTAAATTTGGGGTTGGTTGGGTTTTGGCTATTTGTAGTGAGTCCTTTTTTACTGCAGTATGGAATAGGCGTAAGTCGCGGGGTAAAGCATAAGTGGCAATGACGTTTGTCTGACGGGATAAACTAGTTATAAATGCTGATCCTCATCGAAACGCCAGTAATAATAGACGCGACTCTGAGGAGATGTTTATTACTTATCACTACACTAATTATGTTTACACATTAGCATTAATGTTTTTTTTTCCATTATTAGTCCTTTCATTGTCGTTAGCATATTTTTAATTTGTTGAATAGTTTTTTGTTTTACAAATTTTTGACTGGTTATGTATTTCTTGTATATTTTAGTTCATATTGGTAATTATAAAACAATTTTTTTTTTTTTTTATTTTTAATTTTTTATTTTATTTTATATATATATTTATATATATATTTTATTATTATTTGTTATTATTTGTTTTTAATTTTTTTTAATTTTTTATTGTTATTATGGTTGAGTACTGTTTTGGTTGTATAGCTTGTCTTATTTATTTTTAAATATTCCTCTATTAATCTTTATTTTTGTCTTGACAACTGTCAAAATATGCTTTGTCTAATAAATAATTCTCCTTTATTCTAATGTACTTCATTTCTTCCCTCAGGCGTTCACTGCTCGTGTGTGACCATTTGGCGAATTTTATATGCCAAAGTTTTTAAATAATATTGATTTATTTTAAACTTGATATTTCTTTACAATATAATATTATTTACAATATAATAATTTAAAAAAATGAACTAGATGCTGTTTTTGTTAATTAAATAAAAAATTGTAAAGGTTTAAATGACATTTAAATGCAATTATTTTTTTGCCTAATGCAATAAAGTAAAATAAGGCAATAAAATAATACACTAATAAATGTGTTTTTTAATGCATTTAGGATTTTTCAGCATTTTAGGATTTAACAATCCATTAAAAAAGGGTTAAAAGTTTTGCTTTGAAATTTCATAATTGCAAGAATCATAACTTTAAATATTTTATTTATAAATGAATTAAAAAATAATATATTTATAAATGAATTAAAAAATATTATATTTATAAATGAATTGTTACAAAAATGATAAGTAAGCAGGAAAACTTTATGAATAATCATAGTAATATTAAAGTAATAAATTATTGTTATTTAAATGTTTAATAATAAAAAGAATTGCAGTAAAAAACTACCATAACTTAACTTAAGCAAAATAAAAGAAAATGTGTTAACTTGCTCCTTGTGCATAACTTTTAAAAAAATACTTACTCTCATTGTATTAGAGGCGGTGTCATTTTCATCATTTGACTGACATATCAAGTTAAATTTTGAACTGATGAATGTAGTAGCAAATATCTAAAAAAGTCAAAATGTTAAAATATTATATAAAAACTCATCAGTTTTTTCCTTGATTTGTTATATTAAAATGGATATTCTACGAAGTAATAAAAGCTTATAAAGTTGATTTAAAAACCTTCCCTACCTCCCACATCATCCAAACAGATAGCAAAACTGAGAAGAAATTGTAAACAATAAGCATTCCACGAAGATGCAAAGCTTTGCGACTTTCCATAAATTTAGGTCCAACTGTAACCATAACGATATAAAAAATAGAAGCCAAAATCACATACTTTGGATCACTGACAAATAAATAATCTTTTGTTCTCGCATCACCTTCACTTCGAATTTTATTATAATAAGTAACAAGTTCTTCAAATACCATTGTGCTGTGTGTTGCAAAGAAACAAAAACTAAAGAAAAAAACTAGCATTTTGGAAACATATTTTTACAGTAGATGCTGACCTTTAACAGGCAAAAAACATTCGTACAGTAATAAACATTTTATAATAAACAAATTACAAAAAATACAGAGATAAACTCTTTTGTCCTTATAGAGATTAAGTATAATAGAGATAACGACTTATATAGATAAAGTTTAGAGATAAACTGTAGGGTGGCCATTTAAAAAACCTTTTTATTTTTAGTGTTTGCTCTTACCCTCAGGTTCCTAAACATCAGACAAGTAAAATTATCAAAATAAAAATGTTGGGTCTCAAAAGAAGCAAAATTATATAAAATTTTTAAAAAGAATCATCATTTTATAAAAAACATTGAGAAAATTTTTATATAATAGACAATATTTGATAACTTTAAAATCGCTAAGCGCATAATTAGTTCTGGTATGGCCTGGGACATTTAAAATATTCCAAACGTAAATAACTTTTTCTAATGCTTTTTCTTCATTTAAATTACTAAAACCATGATAGAGCTTTGATAATTACTAAATTTCTGCAGTCATCTTCAAAACACTCTGTCTTTAAATCCATTAATAGATTTTTAAAAGTTTAAATTAATAAAAACTACATTAAACATAAGCTACATATAAAAATTGAGATATAAAGCCGGAATCCCAAAAGGACTCCGGCTTTATATTTCAATTTTTTCCAAGTTTGTAGTGTCCAGAAGCTCTAAACATGTTTGTTGACTTATGATCTGCTATAAAAAAAAATTCATGAGATTTAATGACTTGAAACTTATTATTTTTAAACCTGGAGTCCTGGAGTCCTTGTCGCCATTATACCTAAGGACTCCGGGTTCAAAAAATGATTGTTCCTCTAACCTAAAAGTTTAAATATTTTTCCTATTAGTAGTCCATAAACTCATTTATATTTTTAGAGCTCCTGGTTACCAAAAACTAGGATGAAGTTATCTTTTTGTGACTTTCAAATATATATTCTTTTTTGGGACTCTGCATCCCTGCCCAAAACAATATATCTTTGAAGAACTATTTTCTTGATAATTATAGGGACCTGCCTATAATTATCAAGAAAATAGTTAAATAATATAGTAAAATAATAATAATATAAATAATCAGGCTTCTTGATATAATTATCAAGAAAATAGTTCAAGGGTTTTGAGCAGGCCCTAAAAAAAAAATTTTTTCAAAATTTTTTTAATTCAAAATTTAATTAATTATTTTATTATATAGAGCACATTTAGAGGGTGAGAGCAGACATTAAAAAAAAAGAACCACCCTAATAAACAGTAGTAAATGGAGAATAATAGCTTTGTAAACAATAAATTATAACTTTAATACAATGTTATAAATTTTCTAAAATTTCAATATTGGTATTAAGTATATAGCAATCAAAATTTTACATTTTTAAATTTTAAAAAAAAATTGGAATTCAATTTTTTTTTTTTAATGAACAAAATAAACTAGGTTTATCAAAAGTATCCAAGGTAAATAAACCAAATTTCTAACAATTTGAAAGCTATTTTCTAAAAAATGTTTAAAATTATAAAAACCTTAAATTCAATAATAAAATAACTATTAAAAATCATTAAAAAAATTTACTAACATGAAAATTAATGCAAATCGATCCTCTTTTTAAATAGCAATTTTTTAAGACCTTCATTTGACATAAAATAAATTTATAGTAATTATATCTATTAATTGACTTACTTGTACTTTAATATTGATTATACTAACACTTGCAAAATTTACCTTAATTAAGTTGTTGCAAATGTATGCTTTCTTGTGGGTTTAGTGTTTGGATGAGCTGAGATGTTTATGCTTTATAGTAAAGTGTTTGGATGAGCTGAGAAAGTTTATGCTTTATAAGTGATAAGGAAATTAATGTATAATTAATTAGAGAATAATTTGTAACTTAAAACCTGATACAAAAATATTATAAAAAAGAAATTAAAATGTAATATTTAATAATTTTTGTATTTAAAGCATAATAATAATAAATCATACAAAAATATTAAACATTTGGCCCATTGTGACAATACAATTGAAACTTATTGAAAATTATTGACACTTTTGAGCACAATCTTGATGAATGTGTTTAATGATAGTGCTGTTAACTAAGAAAAATTATAAAGTTTTGCTTATCAAAAACTTAAAAGAAAGTAACAAAGTAGCAAAATAATTCCATAATTTAATATCTATATCAATTTTGGAAAATCAAAAAACCAATGGCAGAATAATATTTTTGTGGCTACGGAAGAAAATACCAAAGCTTATGTAGCAAAGAATTGCAAAATAAATGCACAAAAAATAGAACATTGCAAAAAATAATGCAGTTTTTTTCAAAATCGGAAAAAAATAGATAATGCAACAGATATTTTATTTATTTTTATAATTAAGAATAAATAATTTTTAATTTTTTTTGGCCTACTTATATTTGATAGCAACCTAAATATATATTTCTACATAACTCAATAAAAAATAATATATATAGAAAAAGACAATTTGAGTGGTAGAAAATACTGTAGATAAAAAATAAAGCATAAACAAATAAGGTTAATTTTTTAAAAAACGATAAACCTTTATTCTAACCTTTATTTGGGGTTTACACCTTTCTGCAAACCTTCAGTTACAATTGCAAAGCGCCAATTAAATGAATGAATTTCCGGTGCTTCAAACTGCGCGTTGTGTTGTCAAACTGGTCGAGTTTGCGAGAACAACCCAATAATTAGCAAGACTAATTTAAAGGCCGTTTTCCACAAGACAAAAAATTCGCGCGAAGCGAATTTTTTCGTCGTTAAGCATGCGCAGACTAAAGGCCGTTTTCCACAAGACGAAATATTCGCGCGAAGCGAATTTTTTCGTCGATAAGCATGCGCAGATAAAACATTTCTAGCAATTATTGCTAATTATTGCGAGAAATGTTTTATCTGCGCATGCTTATCGACGAAAAAATTCGCTTCGCGCGAATATTTCGTCTTGTGGAAAACGGCCTTAATCCGTAGCGCTTCGCGCGAATTTTTCGTCTTGTAGAAAACGAATCGCCATAAGCGAAAACCAATAAAATTTTGAATATTATATCACGTGATGTCAACAGTAAAAAAAAGCGAAAACACGTTTTTAAAGTAACAAAAAACAAAATTCTTTTTGTTTTTTGTTACTTTAAAAACAACATGTTTTCCAACCAGACTTTTATATAAAAGTAAATCGAAACTTTACAAATATAGATTTTCACACTGTCAATTACGAAAGTTACACTTCATAAGAATGTTTATCTTTAAGTAGCCACACAAAGATAAACCTTTTTGTGAAAAATTTTTTATAGAGTTAAACCTGCTGTTCGTTCTTGCAGTAATAGTTTTTAATAGAAATGTTCATATCAGAGTTTAGCATTTATTTTCTTATACTTTCTTGTAAAAAAAAACCTTATATTAAATGATTATATTACAAAATAATATCACATCTTACATGTAAAGGCCGAAATGTTAATATTAATGCGCGGAAAGAAATTTTCACATTCTTCAAAGTAGAAAGTATGCTAAAAAAGTATTAACTGCCTTCAGTTAAACATACAGCGTAAACTTATTGCTGCCATTTTTATTGTTGACAACGAAAAAAAAGTAGCGCAAAAGAAAGTAAGTGGAAATCAAAACAGCGTTTCGTCGTATCGAAAAAATTCGCTTCGGGCGAATTTTTCGTCTTGTGGAAAACGGCCTTAAGGCTAGTTATTGGGTTAAGTAAGGCGGATTTTTTATACGTAAATGAAAACGGATTATTTTGAATTCCAAGGACGTTGTATAGCAATTTCTGTGTCAAAATGAAAAGCATGAACACTTTCATTGTGAACAATAAATAACTAGAAAAAACTAAGTTTACTTAGACGTTTCTGTATATGCTTTATATATATATATATATATATATATATATATATATATATATATATATATATATATATATATATATATATATATATATATATATATATATATATATATATATATATATATATATATATATATATACATTATAAGAGTCATTTTAACATGGTTTACTTGTTTATTCATGTCGGATTTTTCCCATCCTATATAAATGCTTTCTTTAATTTCTAATTCAATTTTGTTTTTAGCACGATCCAAAATCAAAAAGCTTCATCATTATAAATTTTAAAACATTTTTCTTTTGAAAAATTAAACCATTTCTTTTTAAAAATTATGCAGTCGACTCTCGATATCTCGAACACTAAGAGGACCGGAAAAAAAGTCCGAGATATCGAGAGTTCGAGATATCAAGAAAAGAAAATAATTAAAATTTCCCGACTTTCATTAAAACAAGTTATTTTTCTGACAAAAATTATTAACAACAAAAACTACAACTTTTGGAAAAAATCTGTTATCTGATATTGCTTTAAATTATCCATCTTTTCCATCTTCATTGAATCCTCAAGTTTTAGTGCTAGGGATTCCGTATTTTGAGCTGTATAGCGAAGCATTTTGAATCGTTTCAAAAGCAATTTCTAATTGAATGTCAGATGGACGTGGCGGGGCTTCGACGTCAATAGCTTCGTCAACGCTATCTTCAACTTCATTATCGTCGTTTTCAAAATTAGGATCTAAAATCTGAGCAATGATTTCAGCATCAGTAGCAAGTGAACCGGTGGTTACTACATCGCAATCTAAACCAATGTAAGATTCCGCTGAGAGATCTTCTTGGACGGCACGAGGATCTAACTCTCGCAAACATTTAAGTTCTTCTGTCAAAAATTTCAAAGGATGATCATCGTCAGCTTCTTCAATACTCGTTTGTTTTGCTGATACCAGCTTTTATAAAGCAGTTGATGACAGTCTCCTTCGACACAGCATTCCACGAAGAAACAAGATCTTTCATTGCTTGAAGTATATAAATTTTTGGCATGGGTTCGTTATTATCGACAGCCTTGATACACAAACGCACAATTTTGTGACGATACTAAGCTTTAAGACTTCGTATTACGCCTTGATCCATGGGCTGGAGGACAGATATGGTGTTAGGGGGGAAAATTATTAGGTTGATGTTGCTTAGCCCTTCAATGTGTGGGTGGGCAGAACAGTTATCCACCAGGAGTGCTACTTTCCTGTCTTGAGCACGAAAAAATGAGTCAAGTTTCATTACCCATTCTGTAAAAAGGTCTCCAGTCATCCAACTTTTTAGCTGATTTTTATATGTGCAAGAAAGTTGTTTAATGTGCATAAAACACCGTGGGTTTTTAGATTTTCCAATAACAAACATAGGTAATTTTTCTCCCGTTGCACTCCCTGCTGCTATGCCTGTTAGTCTGACTTTACTATTTTTTCCCCAAAAACATTTTTCTCGTGATAAATGGTATGTTTTGTTTGGTAGGCACTGGTAACATAGTCCAAACTCATCGGCATTGAAAATGTTTTCAAGTTTGTAATTCAAAAGCAATGTTGAAAGTGTAGTTTCATTCCACGAAGCAGTCATATTATTTGTCACGGCGGCACTTTCGCCTGAGATTATTTTAAAGCTGATGCCGTTCCTGATGCTTTAAAATCCAACTCTCCTAATGCTTCTGCGAATTTTAGTGCCTTTTTTTTTAGTATGGTACCATCAATTGGTACTTGTTAACTTCTTTTTGCAACGAAGCACGTGTATATGGCCTTGTCTACATTTTTAAAATTACCACAACGAAGTTTCTTCCGTTTAGATTTTGTGCTATTTTTTTCCAGTGAGGTTAATAACTTGGTTTTATTTTTAATTCAGGTTGATAATGTGTTCTTTGGGACTCCATACTTTTTGACAACCTCTTTGTTAGACATCCCTGTCTCTAGGTCTTTTAATGCCTTGCATTTTTCTGTTATAGATTTGTTCGTGAGTTTTCGTTTAACGAGCGGCATGTTGTTGCGTTTGACAAAAAGAATAAATTAGTATATTAAAAGAAAACTTTTCAGAAATGCGATTCTTAAAAAAAATCGAATTAAATTTTTTTTTTTTTCGAAAATTGGAATTTAAAAAAAATTAAATTTTATTAAAACATTTTTGAAAAAAAAAATGTTGAAAAGTTCGAGATAACGAGAGAAAATTGCCCTGTGGACCGAAAATATTGTTCCAGATACCAAAAAGTTCGAGATATCGAGAGGATTTTAGCCTAAACTAGTACATAACGTACTAGTTTAGGCTAAAAATGTATTTTAATATATTTAATAATAATTTAATTTTTTAGCGGTCCATGGAACCGCTAAAAAATTTCGAGATACTCAAAAGTTCGAGATATCAAGTATTCGAGATATCGAGAGTCGACTGTAATGATGAATGCTTTTCGATTTTGGATTGTGCTGAAAACAAAATTAAATTAAAAATTAAAGAAAGCATTCATATAGGATGGGAAAAAACCGATGTGAATAAACAAGTAAACCATGTTAATTTTAATTTTTGTTATTTATTTTACATTTATCTTCATACAATATATAAAATAGAAAGAAAAAAATACAAATGATCATATCAAATAAAAAATAAAACACTTAAACTCAAAGAGTAAGGTCTTGTCGCAGAGGATAGCTAAAATTTGAAACTAAACTTTTTTTATATTAAGCTTATTTTGGGTCTCTATGGTGTTTGGGGTGCTGGTAATAATCTAATAATCGAGTTTTTCTGAGTAAGTTATAATAGGTTGCTTCCATTGAATATATGTTCATGTCCTCAGTTTTTAAACTAATATTTTTCCTTCTTTTTTTTTTAAATATACCTTTTTATTAATAGAGTTACGTAATCTTTGTCAGATTGTAATATTTTTTAGATATAAATTCCATCGTTTTTTACTGTTAGTATACTTCAATTACTAAATTTTATTTTTTTCTTGTATATTAGAAAAAAAAAAAATAACAATGTGACTTAAACCTACTGCTAAAAGTCTGCTAAAAGTGATGTCTAACTATGATTTCCTCAAAAAAATAGATTGTTTTGCTTGACCGTAATATTGTCCAAGTTCGGTCTCGATGTCACTTCGCTCATGTAAGAGTAAATAACAAAAATACATGCGTATTTCAACTTTTATAAACTTTTTTTCTCCAATATTATTTGTTATTACTTCGTGTATAAGAATCATAAAAAAAATGATGTTTGTTTTATTAATTTGCTAAAATAATTCATTTGCAAAAAAATGAAAAATTATATATACTGTTAAAATCTAAAATAAGTAAAGTATTGAATAAAATGATTAGATTTAGCGCTAATATTATTAAAAGTCACCTTTGAAATATTTGTCAACATTTTAGTCTTAGTTGTAAAAAAAAAAATTTTATTAACATTAAATACTTTTTTTCTTCAAAATTAATAAAATTTTAAAATACTATAATTTTGGTTACTTATGGATTATGCAACAACGCGTATCTAAACGATAAAAAATGAAACGTTGGTTGTGAAAAATGTGGGAGGCTGAATAAGTGCGAACTGTCATAAGTGCGAACTGGCACAAGTGCGAACAGGCATAAATGCGAATTGGCATAAGTGCGCCAAAAGAATTTACAAACATTGGTAAACGTGCAAATAGTCATAAGTACGAACTGTCATAAGTGAAAAGCAGTTACAAAAGTTTGCATAAGTGCGAATGGGCATAAGTACGATTTCGCAAAAGTGCGCGTAACAAATTTGAAAACGTTAGGAAAAGTGCGAATTGGCATAAGTGCGCCGAATAAAATTGCAAATATTAACATAAGTGCAAATTAGAATTTTGCACTTACGCAAGTTCGCATTTATGCCGATTTGCACTAATGCTAGTTTTCGCAACTGCTTTGCAAAAACTACGATTAGTTCGAATTCACACTTATGCCAGTTCACACTATTGTCAATTCGCACTTATGCCAATGTTTGCAAATTCTTTTGGCGCACTTATGCCAGTTCACGCATATGCTAGTTTTCAACTGCTTCGTACTTACGCCAGTTTGGAATTATTCCAGTTTACTCTTATGAAACTCGCGGTTATTCAGTCGTCCCGAAAAATGTGTGCAAACCAACTACAAACAAAATAAATTTAATTGAACCGCACTGAAATAAATCTGCATACAAAAAATTCAAAAGCGTGCATATTAATAAAAAATAAATAAACAAACTCTGAAAATAATTTAATTTGAGCTAAAATTTAGCTTTAATTAAATAGATATAAAAGTATATTTACGAGTCACCTAAATAAATTTGTTTGCTAAAAATAACTTTTGCTTTTTAATAATTTTTTTGTTGTTGTTGTCAATAAAAAACTAATTTTTTTACATTGAATTAAAAGAATTTGTTTCATAAGTTTATTATAAAATAACGTTGAAAACCTAGTTAAATAACTTGTTGGAAAACTACAATTTTTAATATTAAATTTGTGATTACGATATGTTATTACGTTGTGTTATTTGGATGTGAAATTTGTGATACCGTGATTTGTTATTGGCAAGTTAAACAGGTAGTATTGCAATGTGTTGAATAGAGTGTATTTAGTGACTAAAGTTACTAAATACATTCTATTCAACTGTCCATTAATTACGTCAAGTCTTTTTTAACGATTTTTACCTCCCCCTCCTCCTTGTCAAACTTCTAGCGACCCCCTATAAAATTACGTCAACTTTCGATGACATCACTTCCCCTTCCCCCTTCTCCGAATGAATCAATTTTGATGATAGTGAATAAAAAAATGCATTTAAAAATAACATAAACCAGGGATCGGCAATCTTTTGAGATGGAAGAGCTAAAAGTAACAATTTACAAAGTAATTCAGTTTTTATAGAGCTTCTAATATCTTTGTTTTAATATTATATTCATATTTGCATCTTGACATTGAAAGAACCACACAAGGCTTGCGAGCCGTAAATTGCGAAACTCTGCTATAAACATTTAAATAATGTAGACTATGTACTTGCATAAATCTTTTTTTGTTTACGCAGCAAACTATCCAAGAACAACTTTGAAAAAATAATAGAGTTACGAATAAACTTCTCGTGTGGGATTATTTAGTTCTGTATGTGTCTTTTTAAAGCACAACACAGTTTTAAAAAAGTGGAAATATAAATAGCACCATTAAAGTACTGAAAGTTATAGGAGTGTGTAACACAGGACTGTAAATGTTTCCTAATTTTCCATTTTTTAAGTTATTAAACTTATATAAAAAAGTAACATCCTTGACTTGTCTTGACCTCTTCCCTCCCTCTTGTCAAGAATTGACAAAAATTTTAGATCCCCTCCTCCCCATATTTTATTGACGTAATTATTGGACAGCCTCTTATGGGATGATATTGAAAGTTTGGTCAAACTTTCAAGTTTATCATTGCTCTCAATTAAATTACAACAAGATTTATCTGTTACTAGTTCAATTAAGTTGATTGACTTTCGTCTTTTGTTGTTAACTAAATTAATATTATTTGCAATAGGTGGCGTTGACGATTGCTGAAATGTTTTTATGGTATTGTCAGCTGAGCTGTTTGACAAGTTCAAAGTGTTATTTAAAAAAATTTGTTTCAATTGTTATATCGAATTCTTTGGATTCTTTTAGATGCATTTCATAAAATGTTTTTATAAATATTTTTGCCTTTAAAATGCATTCATATCTATAGATATCATTTTTGATAAACTCGAATTTACGAAATTTAAAATCAAGAATAGTAGCTGCAAAGAAAAAATCATTAGCAAAAATGTATTTAAAACGTCCGTTTAGAGACCTTAATAATTCCTTTTGAAAAGTCTTAACTAGTTCTGTAAAAATAGGTTGCGATTCAAGTATTCCATTTAGTAGAGAATACAGTGTTGGAAACAGGAATGTTACTGTAACATATTTCTTTCCGCTGAAATGTTTTACCTCTTTAATTGGGTGTAACAAAATACACAAATCCTCCAGCACCTTAAATTCAGTTGCAATGGGAAGATAGTCTTTTATATTTTGGAATTCGATGCTTATCATATCCAATGCAGTTTTATTTGTTAATATAGATTCAATCATATCGAATTGGCTATTCCAGCGAATAGCTATATCCTGTACTAACTTTATTTTAGTTTCATAACTAAGTATTTCTTGAACTTCTTTTAACTTTTTTTGTAACATCTCTGAATGCTTAAATGAACCAACAATGTGCCTGCAGGATGAAATTACCTTGGCAATTTCTAATTTACCTTCGTTAATTTTTTCAATTTCTTTCACTTCACTTTCTGTAATTTCTCGATTAATTAATTTTCCATTAACGTCATAATCTTTTACTTCATAACGCTTTGACCCATTTTTAAATTTTTTTACTTTTATATCTCTCGCGTTTAGAAGATCATTAACCACGAAATTCAAACGATGACCAGCACACGGAATCTTAAGAACATTATCATCAAATTTATTTACTGCAGAGAAAATATTTGCACCTGAGTCAGTAACTAGTGCAAAAATCTTATTATTGATTGACTATTCACTAAAGATTTCGTTTAACGTTTTAAATAAATATTCAGCTGTTTTCATTTCAGACATAAACTTAAGATCCAGGTTTCGGTCAACTAGAGTCATATTTTTGTCAATAAAATGACAAGTCACACCGAGGTAGCTGTTTTTACCCAATGATGTCCAACTATCACAAGTAATTATAATGAAATGACATCCCTTTAATTCTAGCATTAAAATTGATTTAAGATTGTCCGTAATTAATGGAACTAATTTCTTGCTCACCGTATTTATGCATGGCATTTTGTAGCTTTTGTTCAACTCACTAACTAAGTTTACAAAATCTGAATGACGTACTATCGAAATCGGCTGATTGGTACCAACAATAAAATTCACCAATAACTTGTTTAATTTTTTATGACCAGTCTCTTCAAAACCATTCTCATTACCGCTCTCAATATCGGATATATCGTCATCGTTAAGTAAAGTTGTTGATTTTTTAGATATTTTAGAACTAATGCAATGATCAATTGATAAATGGGATTGCATTGAACTGGTCAAACTGTTGTAAGGTAAAATCTTATAACATATGCTGCATTTTTTTTGATTCTTTTGGTCCATTTCGAAATATGTCCAAACGAAGCTTCGTTTTCTTATTCCTTTCTTAATAATGGATTTATTTGTTTTTGACATTGTTTGTTCAAACTAAAAAGCGAGTAGTTATTTTAATTGTTCGTATGTAACAAATATTAACAAATTAGTAACTTATGTTAAAATAAGTTTGTACCACATGTTACTTCACTTAGGTACCGAGATTGTTATAACTTTAATATAAAATTACATTTTTTCTAGAGTTATGTAACACAAAAATCGCAAAGGCATAAATCGATTTGAAACCGTTGTAAATCTCTAAATAACCACTAGAGAGTAATTAGCCGTTTACATGGCAACAATGATTTCATGTCATGCGTTTAAGGCCTCAAGGGAATTGCCGTTGAGAAATAATAATGACTTACGTGCGTGCTGTGAACTATGCATTCTAAAAAGGGAGTGTCAAAATTCTATATTTCTTATTTAACCAGTTAATCTTTATTAGATTTTAGAGAAAAATTCGAAAAACATTTTTTTAAAAATTTACAGAAATTAAAAAAAAAAATTCTTTACAGATTTTGCGTGTCTAAAGTTACGCAAATTTCCTTTCAAATTTATGCTATTCAAATTTAGATGGATGAAATTGATTTTTAATCATTGCGTTTTTAAAATAAAAAAAATATTTTTAAAAGAAATTTTTGTGTAATCAAAACGACAGGCAAAAAATAAAATTTTTATTTATTTTTAAACGCTACTCAAGCTATCAAAAAGGCTTTTGCTCAAGCTTTTGGTAAGCTTTTGGTAATCCCTAAAAATAATTTTATAAAAGTAAAAAGTCATGACGCATAATCTAATCAGGCGAGAGAGGTGAAGGAGAAGGTATTGTTTGTCTCGCGCAGCAGATGTCCATGGAATATCAATGAACTGTAACTAATAACAATAACTTCGTATAAAGATAAGCAAATTCCTTAAGAAAGTTTACTTGTAGTTGATTAATGTTATTGTTATATTTGCAACACTAATCAAGAACTTTGAGCCAAAAACCAAGGCCCCAAAATTTAAATAAACCTGTTACTAAAAATAAAAAAGCTCCCCATATTCGGTAAAAGACCCTTAAAAATTTGAAAAAGAGTCCCTAAATGAGCCCCCCCCCCAATTATGGGAGGAGAGTGGGGAGTCTATCCACGGCTCTGAGTATATCCTTGCTTTTTTGGTAGCAGTTTCCTTTAAAAAGTAACAAAAATAGTACTATTTTCTATATATTTAGAGTTTTATTAAAGTTAGTAATTTTATTTTATTCCGTTTTAATCACCTGTGACGTCACAAATTTGTAAACCCTATTCCACCCCCCGGTTACAAAGTGTCACAAAATCCGAAACTCCGCTAGGCTTAAATATGTGAGGTGATTTGCGAACTACCCCTGAGTTATTTTTAAAATAATTGCAGATTCTTCTATGAAATAGTAGGAGGTAGTTAAACCCTTAAAAAAGTAAAAATTTTTTTCGGTAATATTTTCCGATTTTCGAAATCGCAAATGTATTTCAAAGCAAATTTTACATTTTCGAAAGTAAAAAATTACTTCGATAATATTTTCAGAATTTCGAAATCGCAAAAACATTTCGAAGCAAATTTTACAATTTTGAAAGTAAAAAATCGTTTCGATGCAAAATTAAATACTTTAAAATTATTTCGAACTTACTGAAACGAAAATAGAGTTTCGAAAACTTTTTTTTTAATCGAAAATTCAACTTTGGCTTTCGTGAACAACCCTAGTATATACCTTCGATTTGAATGTTCAAAGATTAAGCGACTGAACTTCTTTTACGGTATACATTTTTTGTTCAATATAAAAAAAAGGTTTAGATTATCCACCTTACCTTCTTTGAACAAGTTTTATTTCCCAAAATTGAGTTTTTGTACAAAAACATTTGTATGGTTGACTACATACAAGCAAACAGCTATTGTTAGAATATTAGAAATTGATTGGGGTGCACTTTAAACGCTTTTCCGGTATTAGAGGATAAGATTAAGTGAACAAGATTAAGCTTCATTTGGAATCATACCTACATCGGCTGGCCGTAAAGGACATTTTAATTTTAAATAAATAAAATTTAAATTCATCAACACAAGAAAGTGTATTCTTGAAATATTCGAATACATCGCCATTCGAAATATCTTTTTATACTTAAAAAGATCGTTTATTCTACCTTAAATTTATTAAAAGTCGTAGATGTTTTGTAATATCCATATAAATAGCGCAAATTTTAAGTTGTTTCCTTCAACATCAAAAGGAAATGTAAATAAATAAAATAAAAAGACAACAAAATCAAATAAGAACACTATAAGTCAAAGACTTTTTTGAACTTCTTTTATTTTCTCTTTGGTTGACGCTGGAGGAAAGTATAATTATATTATACGAATTTTCTTTGTTTCTTAAATGTTTCGTGATTATGCTAGCTGATTTATTCTTGCTTTGAAATGGCTTCTTTATCTCCAGTCTTTGTATTGTAGGATGTTTGATAAAAATGATTGAAAAGCCAAAACAGAGATATCATGTAAAACCAATGAATCCAGAAGAAAGTGTTATTAATATCATCTTTGCATGCGTGTATGGCGTTCGAGCAGTAGAAAAATATAAGGACGAACTGTGACTATATAAAAAATACATATATATTTAATTGTATGCATGCTTGCACGCATGTATGTGTGTATATATATAAATTAGTAGAAACACTTATTTAATTTTTTTTTTGACAGGCTGTTTCTCTTTCTGATGAACCTACAGAAATAGCCAGTTTCATAAATGTACATACACGCATTCAATAGTATTTTAATAATAATAATAGCCCAAAAGTTATTGCAATATAAAATTTTATCACTACCTCTTTTATATTATAAAAGAAAAAGGATTCTTCTTAGTTAATTTTTGTTATTTTATCTAATTGAGTATGTTAATGCTTACGTTAATGCTGTTAAAAACAATTCAGATATATATATATATATATATATATATATATATATATATATATATATATATATATATATATATATATATATATATATATATATATATATATATATATATATATATATATATATATATATATATAATGTTTATTAAGATATTTCAAAAACATCTTTATAAGTGTTATCATGTATAAAGGTATACATAAAAAATGTAATAGTTTTTATAAACAAACTATGTACAAATGTAATAGTTATGTACTAATGCAACTATATAGCAACATACCATTTGCATTTTTGTGAGATATTTCTTCCACCATAAATATTTATGCATGTGTGGACCAACAGCAGCCAACATGTAATAGGTGTACATAATTGAATGAATAAAACAGTTTAAAAAATTTCCAAAGTAACCTGAAAACAGAAAATTGTGAACCTATTAACTATTGATGCATTTAAAATACCTAGGCCGCAAAATCTAGGGGTAAGGAAAATCGGATATACGGTCCGGTTTGTTGAAATCTTTGCTGAAAAATTGCATTTGAAAAGATCTGGTATTATCATTTAAAAAATCGTTTTTAAATGATGAAAAGAAAAAGAATTTTAATAATAAAAATTAGACAAGTTGAAATCTCTATTTACTAAAAAAAAAAAATAATTTCGAAAAGTTCAACTAATTATTCCCATATTTATCAGATACACATACAATCTAGATCAAAGACACCTGCCATGTGTAGCATCTGTAAATTATTTAATGATAAAATTAATAAAAACTTTATAATAAAAAGTGCATCTTCTTTAGCAAAATCATTTTTTTGGTGGGAGGTAAACTAATTATATTTTAAATTGATAACTAGTAAAACTTGATAACTAGTAAAACGTAGATGATTCTAATATTTTTCTCACCAGTTTCTGAATATGAGTTTTTAAATAACTTCAATGCATTTGATGCAATTATAAATAATAATGACTATTATAAATAACTATGAACAATAAGTTAAAAATATGTTAAATAGTGTCAACGTATTATTAACCTAAGTTTTTGATTTTTGATTTTTATGAATATAAAATTAAACCAACTTACTAGCTCCGCCAGGAACATATTTAACCAATAACCATTGAAGAAGCAACATTGAAACATGGTGGTATGTGTGAAGAAATGATATTTGATTGTTCTTTTTTCGAACCACAAAGAAAAACTAGAAAACATATAAACTTTTTAAACAAACAACCCACTGTGTTGGCATATTCAGGCTACTTACTTGTATACTGGTTTGGGCGCCCAAATTTGATTACAAACTCTTGTACTTAATTATGGATATAATTAGAATGAATTTTTTAAAATTTTAATTTATCTCTTCAAGGTTATGAAAGCCATAACAGTCAAGGAGGCTACTTTAGTAGTGGTTTCAACCCTCTCTCAACTTTATAACTCCGAAACACAATTTTGAAAAACAAGACAGCTGTGCAGAGAAACAAGTTGATACTACCAGGAGCGTGGTGGGGATCAAACTCAGAATTTCTTGCTTATGCTGTGAGAGGTATATAACTTTATCATAAGTTCTTTGCCTTATAAATAGTTAAGGAAATTATATAAAATATAAGATAAAGGTGTATACAATGTGCTCCCTTGTCAATAAGAGAGCAAAAATTGTAATTGAATGTGATGCCTACAAAAAAAAAGTCCTCTGGACACCTACAAATTTATGTACTGTCACACCAGTAGAAATTTTTGCAGAGGTGTAAGGAACTTTTTTGTTTAAAGGGTATCCCATAACCAGTAGAAAAAATTGACTATATCTATATATAGAAAATAGTTAATAAAAACAAAACAAAACAGAAACAAAAAAATGTATACTGTATCTGAAAACTCAATCAGCTTAGAAAAAAAATACCACCAATGTGCATCAACTAACTAAAAAAAAAACAACAACAATATCACAAATAAAAGCACATGACACACACAACCAAAAAAATAAAAGAATATAAAAAACTAACTCTAATTGTATCAGGACTAGTGTCATTTTCAATATTCGATTGACATGTTAAGTTAAACTCAGGATTCAAGAAGGTAGAAGCAAACATCTATAAAAGTGTAAAAACTAATTGATTACAAAGCATACAAAATAAATTATTAAGGTTGTGTAGTTAACATTAAGACAAAACAGTCAATTTTTTTTTGATGGTCAAAGAAAGTTAGCTTTATTAGGAGAAAAATTATTTTAAACATTGCTTTGTTATAAAATATATAAAATAAACAATGTTTACAGCATTAAAAAGTGAAGGACATTATATATATATATATATATATATATATATATATATATATATATATATATATATATATATATATATATATATATATATATATATATATATATATATATATATATATATATATATATATATATATATGGGACCTCTTAAATGTGTTCTATGTAATAAAATAATACTAGATTAAAAAAAATTTTGAATAAAAGAAATTTTTAGGGGTCGTTCAATTCGACCCTTTTTAAGTAGTATTTATTTATTACATTTAGGATTTCCCATCAGACATTTTTAAAAAGTGTTGTTTTTAGAACTACCCTAATATACATACATAAATATATATATATATATATATATATATATATATATATATATATATATATATATATATATATATAATATATATATATATGGCAATATTTCCACCACAACTGAAGGTACCGCCGCCCAATATTTTTCCTTAGAATAGCCCTTATATATATATATATATATATAGGCTTGGCCAGGAAGGCATGCGATTTCAAGTCTTTATATGACCACGAAAATAATATTTTGTTTCGATGATTTATAAACTTTTTTGTTTCACCTGTGATTTGGATGAAAAAATTAAATACATTGCATCATATGATTTGTTTTAACTTTTTAATAATTTGAAACAATTTTAAATTTATACACTTGATTCGCCAATTCACTAATCAAATCAGTAAATTGTTTATTTACATTTTTGAAATTAATAATTTAATTTACTAATTAAATAAAAATAATTTAATACATGAGTTGCCCTTTCAGATGACTCCACTGTATTATTGCTCAGGTGACGCAACAATGTTTTAAGTTACCTTCTGAGAATACTGGTCATACATACATATAAAATATTAAACAGAGTACTTTAAACTCAATATAGTGTAAAATATCTTGTCTTGTAAGTAAATTTTTCTCAAATAACTTGAGAACTACTCAAGTTTAAATTTGAAAAATCCACTTTTTAATCAATTTACTGATTTTAACTAGATGTTGATATATGTCTGTTTATCATTTTCCACCTTGCAATAGTGAACATCTTTTTAATTTGAAAAAATTTTGATTAACTAAAAAATGCATTACCTCCCACATCATCCAGAGAGATAACAACACAGAAAAAAAATTATAGACAATAAGCAGTCCACGAAGTTGCAAAGCTTTTCGACTTTCCATAAATTTAGGTCCAACCGTAACCATAACAAGATATAACAACGCTGCCATAATTACATATTTTGGATCATTGACAAATAAATAATCTTTTGTTCGAGGATCGCCTTCACTTCGAACTTTATTATAATATGCGACAAGTCCTTGAAGTACCATTGTGCTGCCTGTTGTTAACAATCAAGTGCTAAAAAAAAAAAAAAAAAAAAAAAATCTTTTTATGTATTTTGAACATTATTTTTTAATAGGAATATTTTTTTATTATCAATTATCAATAGTTTTAGACATTTTTAAATAGTGCCATTAGGAGAATCCAAAGTATTCTCAAAATTTTAAATAGGTTTTTAAAATTTTTGATTATTCTCAAAAATTTAAAAAAAAAAAGTTTTACTAGGAAGCACAAATATACAAATAAGCAAAAATATACAAATGAAATTATTATACTCTAAAGTAAAACTGTATTGGCTTAAGCCAATACAGTTTTTGACAAAATATTTTTATAATAATATTATTATTGATATTTTTAGAATAACATTATTATATTTTTAGAATAATATTATAATTTTATTGATATTTTTAGAATAATATTATTATTGATATTTTTACATGAATAAGCTTATTATTAACAAGCTTATTCTTGTAAAAATATCAATATACTTTTACAATAATAAGTTAATTCTTATAAAAGTATCTGGTTAATGTTTTTCTAATATACAGTAATATAATTTTAAAATACAGTAATACAATTTATGTTTTTTATTATTTTTTTTATTGCTTTTTTTTGTTAGAAAAGTTGTTGTACATAAAGCAGAACTGATTTGATAACTGTAATTTTTATTGACTGTTGACAATTTCAAGATGTTTTTTTTTTTTTGATTATATAACTTTTTTGTTATCTTTAGACCAATTTGCACAGACTACAGCTGGTAAGTTATTATAGCATAACTTTTATTGACCATTAAAGAAATATAAATAAATATATGTATTTCTTACTTATTTAATTATTTCTTGTTGTGTATGGATTTCCCATTTGCTGCAATATTAATTTTTTGTAAATGTGTACCGCAAGTTTTGTGGCTTGCAAATAGGTACATCAAGTTTTGTGGCTTGCAAATAGGTACAGCAAGTTTTGTGGCTAACAAAAAAAATAGATAGACAGCTCTGGCTTACCTTCATGTGGTGTCTATTGTTAAAAATGATTTAGTTGCATTGGAACTTAAAATGAAAATCATTTACTAAAAGCCAAGACATAAATTAATTACTATGTTTCAAAACATTTTTTTTTTTTTTGTTTGTTTTTTCAATAGGTTGGTCGGTTAAATATGATCATTTAAATGAGAAAATGTATACTCGTGCAACTAGATACATGTAAACTCGAGAAAATTAATACTCGTGCAATCTGGTAAAACAATTCTGTATTGTACTTTCTCTTTTTTAATAATTGCATGTGAAAATGTTGAAAATATCATTTCTATGTGTTGTCTTTTTTATGTTGGTTGAGGGGAAGGGGAAAAACCACCCCTCTCCTCAAATGGTACATCACTAATGTATGTTCTATAGTAAAAAATATTGCTTTATGTAATACAACAATATTTTCAATACTAATGTATGTTGTATAGTTATATATGATTATTTTTCCTTTTTAACAATACATTTGATTAATGAAATAAAGATGACGTTATTTTTTGTTAGTGAGGGGGGGGGGGATAAGAGGTGTTATTATATTCCCTTCATTTAAAGTCAATGTGTACATCAATAATATATGTTGAATAGTAATGAACGATCATTTTTATTTGTTAACAATACATTTAATTATTGTAATAAAGATTTAATTATTTTTATTTTTTGTTATGCGCCAAGGCGGGGTGGGGGTGGGGGGTTGGGGCAGTGCAACATATGCCCTCCCCTAGAGTTAATGTGTACATCACTAATGTATGTTGTATAGTAAAAAAATATATTTTTAATTATTAACAAAATATTTAATTACTGTAATAAAGATTAAATTATTTATTAGAATGTATGATTATTGTATTAGGGTGTTATAACATCATAACCACATCTACGGCCAACTCAACATCATAACCACATCTAGGGCCAACAAGATCACCTTATTTTGTTTAGCAGTGTTCTGGAATCAAGTTATGGCAATATTTTATGTATAAAATGTAACAATTACATTTAAAAAGTGCTTATTTCTGACAAAAACTTGTATTTTCTTTAGAGTTAGATGGTTTTTCATTACCCCCTCTGGCTCCCGAGATACACCCTACATCCAGGCACTAATATGAACTAGTAGCCCATTAGTGCACCTATCTTTTGATACCAAGATATAGGTATTTGGAGAAAAATTGACAAAGTTATAACAATTTAAGTGAAAAAAATAATTATTTTGACCACAGTTTCTTCAACAATTCCATATATCTTAAATTTGGTACTAAAAATGTTATAACTTTTTTTAGAATTGTTCGTTTTTAATAATTTTTTCACATTTAAAATACTGTATTTAAGGCCTTTCTAATGATATATAACATTTTACTATATGATATATAACATTTTACTATATTTCAAAATTTCAGTGTGCGTACCTAATATATACATATATATATAGTATATATATATATATATATATATATATATATATATATATATATATATATATATATATATATATATATTATATATATATATATTATATATTTATATATATTTATATATATATATATATAATATAGATACATATATATATATATATTATATATATATATATATATATATATATATATATATATATATATATATATATATATATATATATATACATATATATATATATATATATATCTATATATATATAGTATATATATATATATATAATATATATAAATAATTATATATTATATATTTATATTTATTTATATATATATATATATATATATATACATATATATATATATATATATATATATATATATATATATATACTATATATATATACATATATATATATATATATATATATATATATATTATATATATATATATATATTATATATTTATATATATTTATATATATATATATATATATAGTACATATATATATATATATATATATATATATATATACATATATATATATATATATATATATATATACTATATATATATATATATATATATACATATATCTATATATATATATATATATATATATATATATATATATATATATATATAATATATATATATATATATATATATAATATATATATATATATATATATATATATATATATATATATATATATATATATATATATATATATATATATATATATATATATATATATATATATATATATGTATGTATATATAATGGTTAATCTCAAAATATTTATTGGCTTATCTTAATAAAATTTGGAGAAAAGTTAACTGGGTTAGTTATGACCTTTATTTGCCATATATCATTAAAAGATATATATATTTTATGTGAATATAAAATATTTCTTTTTATCTAAATACAAATACATCAGACAAACAAATGACGTTTTAAAATAATACTTATTAAGTCCGTTATTTCTTTTCCCTAACTTCCCTGTTCGGTCAGGCTCGACAACCACAACTTGCAACCGCAAACGGCACAATGAAGAAAGTAATATTGTTATTTCCTAAGTTCTTACGAGGTACAAAGTTCAGTTAACATCAATTAAAAATGTCAACTTTGCGGGATAAAAGAAAAATATGTCGGTTTAGCGGGTTTACGAGCTTTTTGTTTATTCGTTTGAGGCGCATGCTAAAGTTTGAAAAAAATAATAATGTAGAAGAGAAAAAGTTGAATTAAGCACAATTGCACAAAACAAGACCATAAGTTTAACATTTTGCAAAAACTTTTTTTTTATTTTATAAATACAAAAAGCTTGCGAAAATAAGCCACTGACTTTAAATTCAAAAGTCATTTTAAATACTATATGGTCAGTGGCGTGGGAAGGTCGTGAAAGTTGGGGGGGGGGGGCTGAAAACATATGTTAAAAAGGAAAAAGTTTCTCAATTTTGTATGGTACCGTAAAATAGATAAAAATGATCTATTTATTAAATTATTTATCACACGTTTTTCATCGCAATGACTCCATTAAAAACTATAGTCATCTTTTGCCAGCACACATTCATCTTTTTAATGATTCTAAATCATTAAAAAGATATATACAAACCTTTCTTAAAATTGAAAAAAGGTTAAAATTAAGTAATAATTGATCTGGAACTTAGTCCATAAAACTGTAGTCATCTTTTGCCAGCACACATTCATTTATAAAACAGTTAGTATGCGATAGTATCTTGCAGCATTTTATAGATAAAACTCCATCTTCAAAAGATCAACTCTATTAGAGCTCAAACGATATTTGCAACAAAAGTGAGTGATTTAAAAGTGCCAATTTTTAAAATTCAAGTGCAGTGATTCAATCCTATAATTGAATTATTCTATATTGCTTCTGCAATAAAATTTAGCAGATTTCAATCTAGGTTAAAGCTTTCTTTGAAACAAATTGACAAAGCATTTTTTTCCGAAATGAGACAGCTTGTTAATAATTTAAACGTGAATTTTTTTACAATTGCACTAGAATACAGTTTGTTCTGAATGCCAATAAATAACGCTTAGCAAACAGTCATTTTTTCAATGATGTTGTTGGATTAGTGGAATACATCTTTAACAGACGAACATATTTCTTTGACTATACGAATATACAGTTAGTAGGCATTGAGTAAGGCAATCGATTTCAAATAGTACGATTGAGTATATTGAATAACTAAAAAGAACAAACAAATTCACAAGTTTTCATATTTAAAAGGCGAATAGCAAGTTCTTAATCCGATAACGATTCAGATATTAAAAAAACTATTGATCTGGGCAGTATTTGAGTTTGTAAAAAATACTAGTGAGAACTTAAATCAAATTTTAAAATTAAAATTGTTTTGAAATGTATGCTTTTATACAACAAGTGACAGAAAACATTTTGATTTTATTGGCTCAGCTGCAGCATTGACATATCTCTTGGATTAATTTTTGAAACCAAACAATGTCAGATAAATTAATTATAAATTAAATAATTAGATGCAATTCCAAAATTTATCAAAAAGCTTTGTGTGTTAATTTAAAAAAATCAAAACTCTCGGCCAGGGCCGTCACTAAAGGATTGGTGGCGCCCGGTGCAAACGAACCCCCCCCCTCCAGTAATAGTTGCGTTAATACGCTTTTTGTGCTACCACCAATACTTTAATACACCACCTACCAATCTACTATAAAGATAAATATATATACATTCGATTCAAGAATTGTAATAAACTTAATAAGGAAATCAAATAAGATAAAAGATTTGTTTTTGCGGTATGTGTTTTTTGCGTTAAACACTTTTTTTTATGAAAAAAAAAAGCTAGAGTACTTGAAATGTTCTAACTAGCTCACAAAACCTGTAAAAATTTTTGATTCGTAAATGGGAGTATAATATTTATTCAATTAATAAATTACTTTAAAATTATGTAAACAATGAATATATATTTATATTTTATTTATTAATCAATTATTATATACAATTGTATATAATACAATTAATCAATTATTATATATATATATATATATATTTTTTTTTTCTCTGTTTACATAACATAAGAATTTTACAGATTTTACTACATAATATAAAATTTAACAAAATAAGTAAAACAGATAGGGACTCAAAGAAGATGAGGATGACAGAACGTCATCGCAATCTTTTCATAGAACCCCTTTAACAAGATTTAATTAAAATATCGTACTATGACATACAAAATAAAAATGTCAATAAAATGTCATAACAAAATGCGTAATCCGCTAATAAAAATTGTCAAGCAACAAACAAAAGTAGAAACAAAACAAAAACTTATTTAAGAGAATTTATCCAAAGCATTATTAACAAAAAATGTTTCACCGGTTTTAAAGATTTCTTTTTTTGTTAAAAACTTGAATGAACTTAACGAACTCACCTTTGAACTCTTTCTGAAAAATATTCCATACCTTTAAACCTCTATATAAAATGCTGTATTTTGAATATTTATTTATTATCCTGCGCAGTTTATATGTGTTCAACATATTCGCTCTAAGATTATAGTTATCATTTTTATTTAACTCAAACTTATTATTAAAGCTTATAGGAGAGATATTGTGATTGTAACGATACATGAAAATTAAATGCTGGTAGATATTTATTTCAAATACATTCATCATTTTCATATATTTCATCAAAGGATTATGGTGTTCCCGCCTATTTTTAAAGTAAATGATTCTACAGGCATGTTTCTGAAAACTATAAATTTTCTTAAGCTTTGCTGTTTGAGTACTTGCCCATGAAATGTTTGCAATGCAAACATTTCATGGGCAAGTAAAAAGTAGAAAATAAACTTTTTCTCTAGACCCAAAAGCTTTGTGTATGTACATAACCTGAAATATCCATGAAAGTCAATGACTGAAAATGTTGGGCGTCCAATATTTTAAACTGTAAATAAAAAATCTTTTATAAAGTTATAAAGACCGCTATATTAAAAAAAAGGCGCATCACAGGGTGCGGCGCCCGGGGCAGATTCCCCCGGTTTCCTCCTCCTATGTGGGACAAGCCTGATCTCGACAGCAAAGATTGTGTATATCTCCCATTGTTAGATCCTCCTAAAGAAAAAAAGTTCTTGGTATTTTCTAATCACTGAGTTGCCCTTTGTTCTTTTAGTAATTATCTTTAGTCAAAACAACTTTTGTTTTTTAAAAGCTACTGACTAATCAGTCAAACTTATCATTTACAGACCATTAATTTATGATGGTCTATATTTTAGCGCAAAGTTGGCTCAGACAGGGCCGTACTGAGCCAACATTGCGCTTCGGGCAAGAAAGGAAAATTGCGGAATCTGAATTCTGTTTCTGCTGTGAGGAGGTGAAAGTTGTCTTCAGCTTCATAAAGTGCCATCCTCTTTACTTTGTGCTCCCTTTTGACTGTAAAATCACCTTCAATTCCATTCTGTTTGGTTGTTTCTGCGGCATCTCTGATAATTTTGTCCACACAAAATCTCTTAAGTACTGAATAAAAACCTTCAATCCTTTTATTTTTTAAGCTGCGATGTCAATTGAAACATTTTTATACTGAAGAAATTTGTTTTCCCAGTCAATTAATGAAAGAATTTGACACCAAAAATCCAACAAACACAAAAAACTGAAATCAATTTAAATGATAAGATCTTTTGCACTGCATATTGGGACATCATTTGTCATGGGATTGTGAATAATAAATTTCAAAACTTGAAGAACTTCTTTTATTTTTTTTTGCAATGATGTGATTGCTTCTTTTTTGGCAGACCACCTTGTGTCACTGTTTTTTGGCAGACCACCTTGTGTCACTGTTTTATGGCAGACCACCTTGTGTCTTTTTTCTTTAATAAGATGATCAATATTTTCATTAGTGATTCCCATCTTAATGTAGAAATTGAAAAAAAGTTAAAGATGGCTTGAACTTTTCAAAAAAATGTAATCATGAGTGGGGAAGTCTCAGCAGCATGGATACCAGCAAGATTTAAAGTGTGAGCTTCACAAGGATCAAATCTTGCTAACTCACAAAGAGAATGGATGTGAGCTTGGACGCCATTGTATTTTCCGGACATATTTGGCTCCATTGTCAAAACCTTGGTCGCCGCAATCAGAAATCTATAGACTGCCTTTCTCTAATTTTTTCAGTGATCTCTGTTGCAAGACTTTTCCGATTTTTGGTGACATTCAATGATCAACAAAGCTTTCCTAAATTATACAGGTTTCATCATTGATGCGGAAATACCTATTTATTTGGGTCATCTGCTCTTTATAAGAGAAATCTGGAGTGCAGTCAAACAAAACAGAGTAGTATTTAGCTTCTTTAATTTAATGCTTGACAATATTTCATTTCTGACTTTCTGCCCAAGTAACTCAATTAACTAATTTTGTATTCGAGGAGAAAAGTAGGACGTTGTAGTTTTCATTGTTTTAAGAGATGCAATGTGTTCAGCATCTAAAGGATAATAATTGCTTATTCGCTCAATCAAGTTCAGAAAAATTTCACTGTTTTGTTGACTGATGACTTATGTTGTGCCCCGAAGGACAAGATTGTTCCTGGCACAAAATAAAATTACATCAACAATCACTTTTTCACTCTCTGAAATGAAATGAAAAAGTGTCTTTCCACTTTTTCATTTCTCCATTGATAACTCTCTGCAGATCAGAATCCATGGTCTTTCTTTCTTCGAGTTTTTTTTTTTGAGAGTTTTCTAAATAGAATAGCATCTTTAGTGTTCATTGCTGTTTTCATGTTCAGGAACTCTTGAGTTTAGTTTTTTCCAGTCACAAAATCTTTTTGAAATTTCTTACAAATTGTTGGTTTTTGCCGTTGAAAATAACAAACAGCAAAAACAAAACAATCAATCTTTTTTATAGCTGTACAGCAACCAATGGTGAACAAATTTTTCACCATTGGGATGAATTTTTTAATACCATTTTGTATTGAAGTGTTGCTTTCTGTTGTCAAAATCACACAGCGTGTATGGGAAAAATTATCTTCTTTCTTGCTCTGGCCCATTGAATCAAAAAGATTCTTATATTGTCCGTTAGTTTAGGCCATGTTGCTGGATCCCTGTATTGAAAGATTTTTCCTAAGGTTGGTGGAATATCTAATATTTCTGAATGAAGTTCA